TGGCTGCCAAGCACTATGATTTTCAACAAATAAATAAAGGCCCATAGTTAGATAAATAAAGTACTCGCCCACTTTTTACTCTACCTAAGGCCAACTCCACAACGCGACCCCAAACGGACATCCGTTTTGCCGGGATTCTGTCCGTTTGAGTAGGGCGATGGGGTCGTGTCCGGGCCTGTCCTGGGATGCGATGGCCATGCACCCAGCGCGCGGCCGCATCCTTTACCCCATCCTGTCCGCCTCTATTTTCAAACAACAACGTTTCAAATACCAGCGGCCGGACTAATTCACACCAGCGGCCCTAGTTCACGCCCGGCAACAAAGCCAGCGGCCTACACGTCCTCGCCGGCAACACAGCCAGCGGCTAGCAACACAGTCAGCCTACAAAATGAATAGTTTTGTTTGCCGGCAACACAGCCAGTGGTTGGTAACACAGCCAGCCTTCAAAATGAATTAGGTTCTCACCGGCACACAGCCAGCGGCCAAGCGGGTGGCACCCATGCTAGCCTCCAAAAAAGAACGGCCACGACTGATCAGACAACCTAGTTCAGGCCGTCAGCATCGGACATCTCCTTCTGCCTGGCCTCGAACCAGCTTCTCGTCTTGTCACTCATTATGGCCAAGTCCACGCTCATGATCGCAAGGGCCACCTCCTTCGCTTTGGTTGCAGCATTGGTGGTCTCTATGTCGAGTTGCCTCTGCCTGGCCTTGTCGTTCTCGGCCTCGATGTCGTGCTGCCTTTGCCGCGCCGCCTCCTCCATGTCGATCTTCCATCTCTTCACCGCCTCCTCCATCTCAAGCTTCTTCCTTTGAAGCTCTAGGTATTGCTTCATTTGCTCATCCTTGCTTTGCTGCTTCTTCTCATCCCTTACATCCTTTTGAGACATCATGCCATGCAACGTCTCATGCAAGGCCATGGATGAGGCATCACGTATGTCGTCCACCTTGGAGTTGGTCTTGCCCCTCGGCCTCTTCAATGCCTCGCCATCTCCACCTCCGGCGAACTTGGCCGTCTTCTTTCCTCTCTTCCTTTGAAGCTCACGGTATCGATCCTTGAACTTAGGAAAATTGTTGATGATCGTCCAATAATGCGTAAGAGTGAATGGCTTGTCATTGTGCTGGCCATGAATGCTTCCAAAGATTGAAATGCCTACACCACAAGATCAACAAGAATTGGACATGCAAACATGTACAAGGCCGAAGTCACTTGGCTGTAGCAAGGAAAGGACTAGGATGAGGAGAACATAACATGTCCCCAACGCCGAGACCACTCATGGGTCGTGCTTCAACGCTCTCAAATGCGGCGCAATATTTGTTGCACTCTTGTTGGATGAACAACCACCTCTTTTGAATCGAGGTGATGCCACGGTTGCTTGTGATTTGGTAGGGCTCAAACATCTTGTGTTCATGGAAAGTTTTGTGGACTCTCGTCCAAAAAACTAGGCCCTTTTGTTGTGCGCCCGTCCTCGGATCTTGGCCAATCTCCATCCAACATTGGCAAATCAACTTGTCCTCATCTTGTGTATATGAACCCGTGCAAATGCTCTTCCTCCTATTTTGTGCTTCCGCTCTTTGGGTGAGCTCGTCGATGAACAATGGCTCGCCACTAATATCAATGTCATTGCCTTCTTCTTCATCACCATCCCCTTCGACATAGATGTCATCGTCCTCATGCCACGAGTCACCATGGTCGTAGTCAGCATGGTCGTCGGCCTCTTCATCGGCAGTGAACTGGCCGCGGCCATCCTGACTTTGGGTCTCATCGGGGTCGTAGACAGGGACATGCCCAACCTCGTAAATCACTTCCTCCATGAACTGGTCGTAGTAGGGGTCGTCGACCGGTGGCGTTGGTGTTGGCATTCCGTCGAACAAGACGCGGGGGGACGACATGGTGCCCGTAAACGGTGGTCCTGCTTGCTTTCTTTGCATCTCGACGGCCGGCCGACCACCGCTGCTGGACCCAGGGGTGACGTTGAGGTCGATGACGGCAGCCGGGCGCGAGGTGGACGGCGCGACCACGCACACGTCCGGCGACCCCGAGAAACGGGTCTGCCCGTCGTCCCTTGGCAGGGGGAAGCCGGGCGACATTGGCATGGTCCGCGACGTTGGTGACTGGCAGTGCGAAGGTCGGGTGACCGACGAGCCTGTGCTCGCCAGACCAACGGCCGCTCCAGAGAAACCGGCCGGACGACAAATGCCCATCATGAGGAGGACGTGCGCTTTGTTGACGATGGCCTCCTTCTCCTTGACCTCGCCTTGCACCGCGCGGCCTCAATCGCAGCGCGGTTGGCGGCGACCTTGGCCGTGGCGATGTTGTCCTTGGCGACCGCCCTGCGGCTCCTCCTCTTCGCCGATTCCGCGTCCAACCTGGCGATCTCCTGAGGCGTGCACTCCGACCGCAGCTTCCTTGGCGCCTTGGCCTTATTCCTCTTGGCCATCCGGGGCGGGACGACGGCCGGCCCGCCGGAGTTCGGCTGGGCGTCGGTCATGGACGGGGGAGGGAGGGGGACGGCGGGACGTTGGAGGGTTTAGGGGGAAATGGCGCCAAAGTGAGCGTGGGGGGTTTTGCTTTGTGTCACCGACAGGCAGGCCAGGGGCGGACGAGCGCGCGCGTCCTGCCCGTCCGTGCGCTGTCCGTTTCGCCCCAAAATCGGCGCAAACTTGGGTCGGGATGGGTCGAAAGCGGACACAAAACGGACAAATGTCCGTTTGCTCCCGCGCGCTGGGCCGCCTGGTTTGTCCTTTTTACCCCAAACAGACGGGGCCGGACAGGATGGGGTCGCGCGGTGAAGTTGGCCTAAACATCAATTGCGTGGTCGTTGGTGTCTACAATGAGCTGTTTCGTCCATTCAGAAAAAAACACACATACATGATGCAAGCGCATGTTCTTTCATGAACCAAGCGGATGAGCACAGAGCGTTGAAATGTTTTTCTTATGGAGCAAGTGCAACATCTTTTGATCCGCAAGAAAGTAGTCCAAAAAGTAATGTTATTCACGCCACCTGTCCCACCATTTTCAAAAGATCAGCACAATAGGCATACAAATCAATAAATTGTTCTCCCGTGGAAGATATGGAAAATAATTCAACCCCTGATCACGCCGGAGATATGCCAGCTCTCGCAGCACAGACAGTCCGTCAACGGGCTAAACAAAGAGAAAGCGGAGGTGGTGGGAAAGTTCTCATCGCCCGCGTCGACATGGCTCAACCAAATATTATTAATATAATCAACAAAAGAAAGAAATATTAAATATAGACAATATCATATCCCCAACGCGGTAGTGCTGCTAGGGGAGAGGAAATAATGGTGCTTTTTTTATCATGGCCAACTTTGTTTTGGTGTAGAATAGAAACGCACGCATCATTATAGCCAGGACGTCCGTCGCCCATCCATCCCCATAGTTGACTTTGAAGCCAAGACACAGCACACATACGCATATGATATTTTCTCTCTATCTGCCTGCCTGCTTGTGATGCGAGCAATAACGGCTTAAAGAAAACCCATTTATTCTTATCCCCAAAGTCCACTATCTCGTGGGTCCTGGCCAAGAAGATGTCATTATCACACCGCATTGGGTCTTTTTCGAAACAAGCCCCCCTAACTTCTATGCCATCACACCCACAAGTCCCCCATAACAGTAAACAACTAATCACTGTACCCTGTACAGTATACATAAACCGCCATAAATATTGGAAGTAAAATCTACAATCAAATCAATCATATAGAGTAGTTATATTTTGTGCGACCTTCAGTTCGTTAGCTGCATTTTTTGACAACAGTGTGAAACTACACTGGTCTTCAGATCCAACAGTGGGATTAGACCGTTCATTCATGTAAAAAATGTGAAGCTGACACTTTATAAAGAAGGACCAGTGGGGTCATATCTCCAATTCAGGTTGAATTCAGGGAGCTATACCGAAAAGCAACCACCATCATTGACTCGCATCTTCTCCCCTCACCCCGTTTCCACCTATAAAGGCAGCCATGGCCTCCGTCCAGACCTCCAACTCCCAACCAAACCGAGAGCGCAACCAAGATAGCGAGCCAAGATCTGCAGAGCCACAGGCGACCACACACCGGCGACCATGGCCGTGGACCTCATGGGCTGCTACACCCCTCGCCGCGCCGACGACCAGCTCGCCATCCAGGAGGCCGCCACCGCCGGCCTCCGCAGCCTGGAGCTCCTGGTCTCCTCCCTCTCCGGCGCGGCGCCGTCCAAGGCGCCCCAGCAGCACCCGCAGCAGCCGTTCGGCGAGATCGCCGACCAGGCCGTCTCCAAGTTCCGCAAGGTGATCTCCATCCTCGACCGCACCGGTCACGCCCGCTTCCGCCGCGGCCCCGTCCAGTCGGCGCCGCCGCCGCCGCCTCCTCCAGCACCGGTCGCTCCACCTCCTCCCCCACCGCGCCCTCTGGCCATCGAGCCGGCCAGGCCCGCACCTTTGACCGTCGTGGCGCCGGTGTCGGTGGCCGCCCCGCTCCCGCAGCCGCAGAGCCTGACGCTGGACTTCACCAAGCCGAACCTGACCATGTCGGGCGCGACGTCCGTGACATCCACGTCCTTCTTCTCTTCGGTGACCGCCGGCGAGGGCAGCGTGTCCAAGGGCCGGAGCCTGGTCTCCGCCGGCAAGCCGCCGCTGTCCGGGCACAAGAGAAAGCCCTGCGCCGGCGCGCACTCCGAGGCCAACACCACCGGCAGCCGATGCCACTGCTCCAAGAGAAGGAAGAACCGCGTGAAGACGACGGTGAGGGTGCCGGCGGTGAGCGCGAAGATCGCCGACATCCCGCCGGACGAGTACTCGTGGAGGAAGTACGGCCAGAAGCCCATCAAGGGATCCCCTTACCCACGGTAAATTTCTTTCCTCACCGATCCAACCTCAACAGAATAAACAAGATTTTGATCAACAATAGTCATGATGTTTGCAATGATCTGACTTTGTTTGATGTCTGGGTTTCAGTGGCTACTACAAGTGCAGCACAGTGCGAGGGTGCCCTGCCCGGAAGCACGTGGAGCGCGCCCTGGACGACCCGGCGATGCTGGTGGTGACTTACGAGGGCGAGCACCGCCACTCGCCGGGGCCGATGCCGATGCAGATGGCGCCGTCGCCGATGCCAATGCCGATGGGCGCTCCCGTAGCCGTAGCTAGTGTGTCCGCCGGCAACGGGCACGTCTGACTTAGTTAATTTTTTTTCTTTCTTTCCCCTTTTGGTGGGGGTGCTTCGTTGGTTCTCAATCTGTCTGATGTCCGTGTAAAGAAGAAGAAAGATTGTAGAGAGACGGAGAGGGAAACTTAATGCCAGAGATTTTACTATCTCCAGACTCCAGTACTTATCATTTTACTATTTGTTCGTCAAGCCTAGCAACTGCTACCACTCCGTATACACCGGATCTGCAAATCGTTCACTTTGTTTGTTCTGTGTGCGGGGTGGATGGAGATATGTCGTTCCATGACTTTGAGTTGAGCGGTGTTACGATGTGATAAGATTCAACGCCGCGGATCTGGGTGGGCGTGATGAAACTGCCATGTACGCGCGGTTACAGTTAATAAGGACGGACGGACGGACGACAAATGCTCCGACTTTGACCTCATAATCTCCATTGATTGCTACTGGTACTGGTACAATACAGTGCGCCAACTACAGTATAGAAAACTCGGGAGCGGCGGAGAAAAGAACAAGAAGTCATACGCGGCCCCGCTTAAACAAGCGCAATAATTGAATTGAATACTTTGTCGTGGGGCTCCCTCCCCCTCTGTGCTGTGCAGAGGTCAAGGGTGGGCATCCGCACCGATTGATTTGTTTGCGCCATTATTATTGTTGTTTACTCTCTCTCTCCTCCGTCCTCTGTGGGCCCCTCCATCTGGGTGAGGAGAGGTGTGATGAGTGGTGGGTCCCACGCGATAGGCTCCCGGTCAAAGGAGGCGGGTGAGGGGTCACTTTCCGGCCTGCACCCCGCAGTTGACCGCACCCTCCGGCCCATGCCCCGCACCCAATCTCATCTCGTCACGCAGCCCACCCAGCAGTGCAGTGCAGTGAGAGAGAACACAGAGAGCGCGCAGGAGTGTTTCTCCTCCTCGATCCTCCCACCTCTTTTACTTTATTAATTTATCGTTGTTTATATTTTTTAAATTATCAAATGAAAGTAAGGGCTGCGGGTGGGCCCTGCGCCAGCACTAGTGCCAAAGGAGGGGTCGCTCCCGGCCATGGATGATGGATGGTGCTAGCTCAGCTCGCCGTTAGCATTTCGATTTCAACTCCTCGGTTTGCTCGCCCGTCGTCCCTCCTTTGTTGTTTTCTGCGGTCGAGCCAGTACCATCCGTTGACCCGCCCTGCCTTCGGTGCGGTGCGGTGCGGCGGAGTCTTTGCTTACGGGCTACGGCTGTCGAGTGTCGACTCTCCCCCGTCACGTCGCTTACACAAGTGCAACTCCTACTCGATCAACGTATCCAGCACTGCTCCTCTTGTGACAGTGTGAATCAAGCGACGGTTCAGCTAGTCAGTCAATCCGTGAAATTCTGTAGTATGGCACCTAATTGCAGCTGGATTTGTGATGCTTTGTTTACTTTACCCTACCAACTAGCTTAAGAAAAAGCTTGCAAGTTGTGTGTTTGTTTATAGCAGCCTCCTGCCTGTCTCCGTGAGCGCTGAGTATACTAATGATGATGACTCCACCCTTGGTTAACTGGTGCCCACCACGAGTATTTATTTACCCGGCCACCCGGGGGTACCACAGTGTCGCATGGACTTGTGTACGCAACGCTACTGTTACAAGTCAATGGCCGGAGCCTCTAGCTATAGCTTGAGTAGTACTACTCCTGGGTCCTGGCATACTTGCTGTGAGAGCTCAGAGCAGTTTGGCTTTGCTAATCTCCACCGGTCGTAAAGGTAAAACCATTGCTGTTACTTTTATTCTAAGCGAGCGAGCCATGCTTGGTGGCCGGTGGAAGAGAAGAAAGCAGAGCTGGACAGACAACTGGGACATTCTTTGCATCTTCCCTGCTTTTGGCCTAACCCACTGTCAAACCACCCTTTGTTTAATCACACTCCTCCTCCATTAAACAATGCGTTAATCCCTGGCTGAGTTAGTCCCCTTCCCAGATCGGATCAACCAATGCGATATTATATACGCCTTAAACAAACGCAATGCAGGGGTTCCCATCCATGCTAATCCCGCCGGGTGAGCTGTCCAAGTGGACTTTTGTTTCATCATCGTGGGCTTGGTGCGACCTAAAGATACACTAGAGTGAGGGTAATCATCTCATCTCTCCTTTTCAATTAGTATTGCAAGCTTAATAGGATGGCATGTAGCAGTAGTTGTTAGGTCTGATGCCACATCTGGGATCTACCCCGGAACATCAGTACTGCTGCATGCTCGACTTTTTCCTCCTTGTTTGGTGATGCTCTTTCTGGGTTGTCTGATCACTGATCACGGCCCTTATCTCTGGTCCAGAGCAGTCAGCGTGAGTCACCACCATGTACTGCAGCTAACATGTGAGTGGCCGTGGTGGTACTAGTCTGATCTGGTCCTTTGTTTTTGTAAGTGCATCAATTGGGCTGTTTGCGAGGTCATAATAGCACGATCAGGGCATCTACAACTGGTTGCGTTAAGGGCATGTACAATGGTTGATAAAGTAGTCTTATCTTAAGTCTTGCATTTAATTTAGATATGATAAAAAAAAAAGTCTACAATGGGTCATTTCTTAGCCTTATCTTCAATAATTAGTCATTCCTAAAAATGTGGTGAGACATACTGATCTAAGAGATCATCTTTTGTCTTCTCTTAAATAAGAGAAGACAAGCCTTTTCTTACGAGTTCTCTTTCCTCCACCTCATCATTTATCCTACGTGGCACTCCTAAGATAGCACCATTGTACATGCCCTAAAGGGGTGTTTGGTTTCAGGAACTTTTTTATGTTGGGACTAGAAAAAGTCTCTAGCAAACCAAAAGGGTGGGGCTTTTTTGGGACTTTTTGCTAAAAGTCCTTAGAAGCACCTCCTTGAAAGTCTTTTTCAAAAAGTCACAGAGACTAAAAAAAGTCCTAGGATTAGAGAACCAAACACCACCTAAACTCCGATAGGTCATGAACCATGGTGGCATATGCATGAACTACGGTAGCATATGGATACGATTGCTCCATGAGCCTCACCAAATAATAAAGACTCTCACTACACGTACATTTCTACCTTCAACTTCAACCTTTTCAGTTTTATGCAGTGGATCACATTTTTTTCCCAAGCATCCGCTTTCTGCAGAGGATCCCGCTGCTTCATCTGAAACTATTTTTGCTGACATCCAATCCTACATGACGTATGAGGCATCACCCTGGGGCTATGCATTGGCCATGCCCTTATACGCCGGTTAGAAAATTCGACCCAGACGAACGCCTTAAACCATCCTCGAACACTCGGGTTTACCGACACTCCTCATATCCAGCTCAAATATGGGAAGGCCCGGGCGCGTATGCCACGTCGGACTAGGCCCATGCTTGCCCACCCGAAGACACATATACTCTTCCACACCCCCTTCCTGGACCAAACTCCAGCAATTGCACTCCACTCCCCTCCACTCCACTCTGCCACCCAAGGCCCCGTCCGACGATCTCCGGCTTTCTTCGGCATGGGCAGCGGATCCGACGACGACTAGTAGAGATCCGTCGACTGTGGCGTCGTCCCGTGCAGTTTGGAGGAGGCAATGGCCGTCTGCATTGCATGCCACCGCTCCCAGGAGGATAGCGCTCGACCAATAGCGGGCTCTATTTGGCGCGAGTCGATTGCGTTGGCGCATCAGGAGCTTAGATCCTCCGGGGCTAGATCATCGCGGTCCTCTTGGGAGCCTTCCAATTTTTCTTTCCCCATGACCGGCCTGCTGGAGTATGAGTCCTACCGGGACCGGTGTGCCCGTCGTGAAAAGGAGAGGATGAGGGCGACCGAGGCTGCCTCGTTGCCGACATGGCGGCTGATGCGGCAGCGCGAGCGGCTGCAGAGAAGGAAGCCATCCGCACTCGCATTGTAAAGAAGCGGCAAAGAAGGAACACACGCGCCCT